GATTTGGGGATGCGAAGCATATGTCAAGCGATTAATTTCAGACAAGGTTTGCAAGCTGAAGAAGTCCATTTATGGACTAAAGCAAGCCAACAGAAGTTGGAATCTGCGATTTGATGAAGCCATTAGCAAGTTTGGTTTTATCAAGAATCCAAATGAATCTTGTGTATACAAGAAGGTCAGTGGGAGTTATATTGCATTCCTAGTCTTTTATGTCGATGACATACTTCTCATTGGAAACAACACAAAATTACTGGAGTCCGTAAAGGGCTGGTTGGGAAAGTGCTTTTCAATGAAGGACTTAGGAGAGGCACAATACATATTGGGCATCAAGATCTATAGAGATAGATCTAAAAGGATGATTGGATTAAGCCAGAGTACTTACATTGATAAGGTACTAGCTCGATTCAACATGGAGAACGCCAAGAGAAGGCATTTACCCATGTCCCATGGCATAACTCTCAGCAAGAAACAGTGTCCACAAACACCTGTTGAGCGAGAAAAAATGAATCAGATCCCATATCTTTGCTGATCGGATCGATCATGTATGCCATGATATGTACAAGGCCAGATGTATCGTATGCCCTGAGTGCAACGAGCCGATACCAATCAAACCCAGGAGAGGCGCATTGGACTGCGGCCAAGAATATCCTAAAGTACCTGAAAAGGAACAAGGATAAATTCTTGGTGTATGGAGGCCATAAAGAAATGGTTGTTGAAGGTTACACCGACGCTAGTTTCCAGACTGACAGAGACGATTTCAAGTCACAGTCAAGGTACATATTCTGTCTGAATGGAGGAGCGTTTAGCTGGAAGAGTGCCAAGCAGAGCACCAATGCAGACTCTACAACTGAAGCCGAGTACTTGGCCGCTTCAGAAGCTGCCAAGGAAGCTGTTTTGATTCGCAAGTTCATCAGCGAACTTGGTGTTGTACCCTCAATCAAGGGGTCGATAGACCTCTATCGTGATAACAATGGAGCTATCACTCAGGCCACGGAGCCGAGAGAACACCAAAAGGTCAAACACGTGCAAAGGCGATTTCACATGATAAAGGAATGGAAATCTGAAGGTTAAATCAGAATTTGTAAGGTTGGCACAGATGATAATGTGGCCGATCCTTTGACTAAATTGCTGCCTCAGGTGAAACACAACAAGCACATTAAGGCGATGGGAATCAAGCATGTTGGAGACTGGCTTTGAAATTCCCTGTACATGTGTTTGAATTAAATAGGATGTTTAATGTAAGATACTGTAATGAAACAATTCATTTATGGAGTAATTAATTTTTGTGCAAAATTATCATTCACTTCATTACTATGTAATTGTGGTTTAGAATTAAATAATGAGTCCATTTGATTTACGGAAATATTCAAAACAGGGTATCAAGACCATGTCTTGGATAAAGAAACACCTGTTAAGTGAACATTGAATATTTAAATCGAAAATTGTCCCTAATCGAGGTCATCTAACAGATGGACGATTGATGACCGCCATAGATTAGTGTGTAGTATGATTTACAACACCATTTCTTGTGCTGCAAGGACGTGACAGTCATAAATCATTTGCACAGGTCCAGAATCCAAGAGATTCAAATAAAAAAAAAGATATATATATATATATATCACAGGTGCCACGTGGCACAAGCACGTCAGCACCTGTGAGGGGCAAATGTTTAGGGTAAAGAATACCCTAGCCACGTGGCCCAATGGGCTGGCGACACGTGGCACCTCGCCATAAGTCAACAGGGCCCCAAACCCCTGTTGACACGTGTCCTTGGTACCCTTAATGGGGAACTTGTTTACCCTACTATAAATAGTGGGGCAAACCCCATTAATGGCGCATTCATAAATACAAACACATTTACCGAGCAATATTAATTGCAGAATTCTCCCAATCAGCGAGAAGTATTTTACCTATTCCGTACTCTTTCCCCCCTGTACGTATACTAACTTGATCGTCGGAGGCGAAGCTCCTACCAACCGGAGTCTTCGTGATCTTACAGGTACAGGCATCCGGTAGCTCAATCTTGGAATTGTAACTCTCCTGCAGGACACATCAAAAAACCCCGAAACATTTGTAGCTATTGTATTGCCGACGAGTGGCGTTTATGCCACCATTTCACCCTTTTTCACTAGTGAATTCCCCTTATTTGTCACTTGTTTGTACCTCTTCTTACCTTTTTCACCTTTATTCTAGTTACTTTTGCTCTTTCTCGTGTTTTTCCTTTTCATTTATCTTATCTTCTGCTTTCTATTGTCGCGGGCGCAGACAAAGACCCTAAGCAAAACACCTAGTTTCTGGAGATGGCAGGGAGATGGCAATGAGAGGGCGCGTCCTTAGTATCCGCGGGCGCGGCGAGTTGGGTTTTGCCAACTACGTACCCACAATGAAGAGTGCGCGACAACCTTGCTGGAGAGGCCTCTCCCTCACCCATTTCCTTTGTTTTATCAAGAAGCTATATATAGTCTTTAGCTTGAATTTCATGACAACTTCTTTTTGACTTTCATTCACTATTTCATTGAAAAACATTGTAGAGAGAGAACATCAAGATTTTAGAGAGAGAAAGTAGCTTAACCTTCAAGTTTCCATTGACGTAATCAAGATACTTTCAAGTTTTCTTCAAGCTTTCAACTTTACAATATAACTAGTCCATGTTTGCTTAAACCTTCAAGTTTAATAATAGTAATCTCTTTATCCCTATCTTTTATTTGATTTTATTGCTCTTGATAGTGTTTATTTCCATAAAGATTCTTGCTTTTACTTATTTTATTGACTTTTCTTTGGTTTTGAATCATGTTAGTTTTGTTGGGATTGAATACATGCTTAGTGTAGTTAAAATGGCTATTTTCCTTTCTCTAACTCAGATTTCTAGTTAGGGAAGGGGGTGAAAATCATGATTGATTGAGTTTACATTGATGATTGATTGGGTTTTGCCTTGAGTTGATGATTTTGTGCTTATTATGCTTGGAGCTATTGTTGTGCACCTCTAGCCCCAATATTTGAGTTCTAGATTAGATGCATGAGAATGATCTAGTTTAGGTTTGATCGATTTCATTGACTTTCTTTGGGTGATTTCATGAGAATGAATCATTTGAGTAGAGTTTATACTCCTTGGAATGAATCCATGATGATTATCATTGTTTTCTTACTAGATCATGATTGGAATCCCCATTCCCTAGTGTTTTTGATCATATTTTCATTAATATCTTATCTTTCATCTCTATTTTATTGACTCTAGCTTAACTATTTTACTTCCTTGTTTTAATCACTTCTTAGTAGATAGTTTAATCTTGGATATTATCAAATACAAACTAATATACCCCTTGTCACTTGCAATAGATTCCTTATTTCACCTTGATTATGCAATACCTCGTTTCTCTGTGGTTCGACCCTAGCTTACCACAATCTAGTAAAAACTTAATAGATTTAGGTTAGGAATATAAATTGTTGATTTGATCTAGGGTAGTAGACCAACGACCTGTTGTCCCCCGATCAAATTTTTGGCGCCGTTGCCGGGGAAACGACTTTTTTGCACTCTTATTGTGTTATTATTGGATTTATTGCTTTTTTATTTTGTTACTTTACTCTCTTTGTAGTCATTGCTATTTATTTGCTTAGCTTTGGTGGATGAAAAGGAGATCTCAAGGACATCCTACACACTACATTGACCACAAAATTGACCGCACTTTGAGACAAGTCCGAAGACTTTATCAAGAAGAGGGGCGAGGTCTTGGAGCTATTTTTGATAGTGAGAGTGATTCTTGGTTTTCAAATTCTCAAAGCGAGGAAATGGCGAGGCAAGAAGATGATGTTTTGTTTTGTGAGTTTGGGAATCCCGAGGATTATGAGCTCACGGGAGGGATTTTGCTACCTGTCACGGAAACCAACTTTACCATTCATCCTCAATACACTAGAATGGTACAAGAGGAAAATTTTTTGGGTTTTCCAAGTGAAGATCCTATTAAGCACCTTAATACATTCCTTGAGCTTTGTGCCATGATTCAAACCAATCAAGTTTCTCAAGAATACATCCGTATGCACTTATTTCGACAATCTCTTTCGGGTCGGGCAAAGAAGTGGCTCAAACAAGTCAAGCCAAATTCTCTTACAACATGGAGAGAGATAGTCAAGGCATTCTTTAAGAGGTTCATTTTCGAAGAAAAGACCGCCAAAATGAGAAGGAAGATTGCATCATTTGAACAAGAAGCGGATGAGAGTCTTAGTGAAGCTTGGGATAGATTCAAAGAGTTGGTACAAGCATGTCCTCACCATGAATACAATTAAAGCTTTCTCATGCGACTCTTCTATGATGGATTGAAACCTATGCCTAGAGCTAACTTAGATGCAGGGGCAGGTGGCCAATTGATTAAGGTCCCCCAAAATCAAGTTGAAACAACAATTGAAGAGGTAGTGAAGAACTGCTCTTGGGGTGGTAGAAGGAGGAACGCACCAAAGAAGGGTGGAAAGTATGAATTGGAGAAGGTTGATCAATTGCAACATCAAATTGAGCTTTTGACAAAAGGGCATGCAAAGTTGAATACGAGTGTCAATAGTGGGGCAAGCTCCTCTTAAGTCAATTCTTTCTCTTGTAAAAATTTTGGTGGAACAAACCACGATACATCTTATTGTGGAGGTTTGAGCCCCGAGCACGTGGCAGCATACAACACAAGACAAGATGGATATAGGGGAAGTGGTGGTGGAGTAGCTTGGAGGCTACACCACCCGGATTTGCTTACCAACCTCAACAATGGAATTAATAGGCTCAAAAATCATACAACTCCAACCCTCAATACCAAAACCCACCCCCAATTCAAACCCAAAATCCAAGAGGAAACTACCCAAGAAACAACCAACACTATAATCAAAACCAATACCATAATCAAAATCATGCGGCTCAAAGGAGTTAAGAGCAAGCATCTCAACCCGATTCTACTGAAACCCAAATTCTTCAACAACTTCAAGCCATGAATCAACAAATGCAAGAGGTCAAGGCTCATAACAAGATGGTTGATTCACAACTAGCTCAATTGGCCGAGAGAGTCCCTTTCAACTCACCTTCTGCTCTACCCAGACAATCACAAACTAACCCTTCCAGCATTATGAAACCCGACTCTTGTAAGGCAATCACATTGAGATCGGGTACATCCTATGAGGGTCCTAAGGAGGGAAATAGTAAGGAAAAGAAGGAAGGAGAAGAGAGTGTGGGTGAAGACAAGGAAGTTGAAGAAGAGAATGTTGTTGAGAAAGAGAGAAGTATGGAAAAGAAAAATCTTAAACATGAGAATACAACTTTGAATCCTAGTGAAGCTAGGAATCTTGATGGGTCCGTTCCATTTCCCGGACGACTGGCGGAGAGGAATTTGAATGACAAGTTTGCAAAGTTCCTTAGTGTGATGAAGAATTTGCACATCAACCTACCTTTCATCGAAGTTGTCACACAAATGCCTTCATACTCCAGGTTCCTCAAGGATATTCTCACTAACAAGAGGAAGCTCAATGATGAGCTCATCACTCTTCCCCATCAAGTGAGTGCACTTGTTCAAAATAAGATGCCCAATAAGTAAAAGGATTCGGGAAGTTTCACTTTGCCTATAAAGATTGGGGTTATGGAAGCTAGGGGGCGCCTTAGCCGATCTTAGAGCAAGTGTTAGTTTGATTACTCTATCCATTGCTCAGAAGCTTAATATTGAAATGATCCCTACAAGGAAGACTATCCAATTAGTGGTGAGCTTGAAGATGTTCCAATTAAAGTTGGGCATATTCATGTGTCTTGTAATTTTGTAGTGATGGATATGGAAGAAGATGTTGATACTCCTTTGATTTTGGGTCGTGAAGTTCTTAAGACTTTGGGGGCGGTGATCAATTGCAAGAACAACAACAGTACATGTGAGGTTGCCGATGAAAAGATTGTCTTTGAGTACTCTAAGTTGCTCAAGACCCCCATTGTTGAAAAATGCTATAGGGTTGATGTTGTGAATGAGGAGTTGGATCGATTGGGAAGGGTTATGATGAAGCCTCAAGATCCAATGGTTGAAGCTCTTACATGCAAGGAAGAGTATCACTCTCAAGAAGTAAAAGAGTTTGTCATGGCCATGGAGGAAACTCAAATAGAAGAAGACCATGAACAACAAGAGGATAAAGAAGAGCTTGAACTAGAGGAGAAAATGTAGAAGAGTTCCAAGCCTCCTCCCAAGGTAGAACTCAAACCCCTTCCCCCCTCTTTGAAATATGCTTATCTTGGAAATGAAGGGGAATACCCTATTATTGTCAATGATACCATTGATGGTCTTGATTTGGAAAAATTGCTTGTTGTGTTGAGAAAATATAGAGATGTGATAGGTTATAGCATTGATGATATCAAGGGTATTAGCCCCTCTTTGTGCTTACATCGTATTCATCTTGAGGATGATCAATCCACCTTGATTGAGCCTCAAAGGAGGTTGAACCCCAACCTCAAAGTAGTTGTCAAGAAGGAAATCTTAAAATTTCGTGAAGCGGGCATAATCTATGCTATATCCGATAGCAAGTGGGTTAGCCCGGTTCACGTGGTTCCAAGAAAGGTGGAATGACCATCGTCAAGGGAGAAGGAGGAGAGGAAATCTCCACCCGGACGGTAACCGGGTAGACAATGTGTATTGACTATAAGAAGTTAAACAAAAATACAAAGAAATACCATTTTCCTCTCCCCTGCATGGACCAAATGTTGGAGAGACTCTCTAACCATGCTTTCTTTTGTTTCTTGGATGGATATTCTGGATTTTTCCAAATCCTATCCACCCAAATGACCAAGAGAAAACTACTTTCACATGTCCATGTGGAACATTTGCGTACCGAAGAATGCCATTCGGGTTATGCAATGCTCCTTCAACATTCCAACGACGCATGACTTCCATTTTTTCAAGAATGCTTGAAAATGAGATTGAAGTATTTATGGACGATTTTAGTGTTGGTGGCTGGTCTTTTGACACTTGCCTTTATAATCTTGAAAAAGTTTTGAAAAGGTGTTAAGAGACGAGTTTGGTTTTAAATTGGGAGAAATTTCACTTTATGGTTGAGGAGGGAATTGTCCTAGGCCATATAGTGTCAAAAAAGGGCATTGAGGTTGACTCGGCCAAGGTTTCAGTGATTGCAAAGTTGCCCCCTCCTACTTTCGTTATGGGAGTGAGAGCTTTTCTAGGGCTTGCCGGTTTTTACCGGAGGTTTATCAAAAAAATTTCATCAATCGCCAAACCTTTAACCGAATTACTCAAGTAAGATGTTTTGTTTAACTTTGATGAGGCTTGTCTTGAGGCATTTCAAAAACTCAAGGAAGCTCTCATTTCCACTCCCATTGTGCAAGCTCCGGATTGGAGCTTGCCTTTTAAGCCAATGTGCGATGCGAGTGATTTTGCAGTAGGTGCGGTGCTTGTGCAAAAGAAAGAAGGAAGATCTCATGTCATCTACTATGCAAGTAGAACACTTGATGAAGCTCAAAAGAATTACACAACAACGGAGAAGGAAACGCAAGATTACATCTTTGAAGGAAGAGCTCGGTTTACGAGCAAAGCACGCTTTTAAGCCAATGTGCGATGCGAGTGATTTTACAGTAGGTGCGGTGCTTGGGCAAAAGAAAGAAGGAAGATGTAATCTTGGTATTTTACACAAGTATGAAAGTACAGACATAGCGTGAATATTCTGACTCTATAAGCTTAAAGCCTCACTATTTGTGAATGGCCCATGAAAATTACGAAATACACAATTAAACACGCAAAACTAGTAACTAACTTAGGTGGTTAATCCGATTAACGCCCCTAATTAAAACTAGTCAAAGTTGTTTAATCCATTATTTCTAAACGCAAATTGCTCACGTAATTAACTAAGCTCCGACTAAATTCCGCATCCATACTTAATTAATCCAATTAATTAAGTCGGCATAACCCATAATTTGTCAAAATCAAAATTTTGCAAAAAGCCGGAAAAACCGAGGTCCAACCTCGTTAAAATAATTACATAAATAATTTTAACACGGCAAAATTTTCGCAAAAAATACATAGCTCAAAATCAAGCAAAAAAGCCCACACAAGCACTTGGTGGGTGCGCACCATGGCTACTAGGCAACCCATGTCTTGTGCTATGGTGCGTGGTGCTAGCACGCTGCACCCAGCACAATAAGCCACGCTGCTAGCACCAGCAGCCAGCCTGGCATGCTACGCATGCTGGCTAGCAAGATGGCGCCTGCTAGCAAGTGGTGTGCTGGGCTTGCTTGCTGCCATGCTGCCCAACAGCATCCCCTCGCAAGCCAACCCCCAGCCACTGCTCCACGCACATCAGCCCCAAGCCTCCCCGCCACACAGCAGTGCACAACATCACCATGGCTCACCCCTGTGCGCACCATAGGCACCTAATCATCTTTGAAAGTTGGAAAATACCACAAGAATATTCACGCTAGTGAGGCTTTAAGCTTTGAAGGAAGAGCTCGGTTTACGAGCAAAGCACTTACTTCTTTCTCCCTTCTCTTAATTATTGTTTAATTATGTTTTTGCATATTTTAATTGCTTTAATTATTGGGGCGGGTCTTGGGCGGGTTTCTCTTCCGCGTAGCGTTGGACGCTACGAAACCCAACACAACCTCCATTTTGTTGAGGCATTTCATCTCTTTTGGTTATGCCACCACTTCTTTGGCACTTGTCGCATCTCAAAACAAACTTTTGAGCATCCTTATGCATCGCCGCCCACCATAAGAGATATTAAATAATCTTTGCCACCGTCTTATCAACTTCCCCATGTCCTCACATGGTAATGAGTGGCAATGCTCAAGAACTCCTTCGATTTCATAAACACATTTCCAGTAAAGGCCATCTCCACACTGTTTAAACAACTGGGGGTCATTCTAAAAGTACCTCCTCACTTCCTTGAAAAATCTCTTCTTTTGTTGTGAAGAGAACTCTAGGGGAATGACCCAGCAAGCAAGATAATTGGCTATATCCGCATACCACGGGCTAGATGTTGAAGCCAGAGCCACGAGAGTTTCAAATCCTACTACTTCATTGATTAGCACATCCTCCTTGTTCTCAAAAGGAAGCCTAGACAAATGATCCGCCACATAGTTCTCCGCTCCCTTTTTATCTCTCATCTCCATGTCAAAATCTTGGAGCAAAAGAACCCAACGGATGAGGCGTGGCTTAGCCTTCTTGGTCATAAGATAGCGAACCGCTATGTGATCCGTGTACACAATCACCTTGGAGCAAATAAGATAGGACCTAAACTTGTCCATGGCAAACACAACTGCAGGCATTTCCTTCTTTGTCGTTGTGTAATTCTTTTGAGCTCCATCAAGTGTTCTACTTGCATAGTAGATGACATGAGATCTTCCTTCTTTCTTTTGCCCAAGCACCGCACCTACTGAAAAATCACTCGCGTTGCACGTTAGCTCAAAAGGGAAGCTCCAATCCGGAGCATGCACAACGGGAGAGGAAATGAGAGCTTCCTTGAGTTTTTGAAATGCCTCAAGACAAGCCTCATCAAAGTTAAACACAACATATTTCTTGAGTAATTCGATCAAAGTTTTGGGAATTGATGAAATTTTTTTGATAACCCTCCGGTAATAACCGACATGCTCTAGAAGAGCTCTCACTCCCGTAATGGAAGTAGGAGGGGGCAACTTTGCAATTACCGAAACCTTGCCTGAGTCAACCTCAATGCCCTTCTTTGACACTTTATGGCCTAGGACAATTCCCTCCTCAACCATAAAGTGACATTTAACACAATTTAAAACCAAACTCGTCTCTTGGCACCTTTGTAAAACTTTTTCAAGATTATAAAGGCAAGTGTCAAAAGAGGAGCCGCTAACACTAAAATCGTCCATAAAAACTCCGATCTCATTTTCAAGCATTGCCGAAAAAATAGAATTCATGCATCATTGGAATGTTGAAGGAGCAATGCACTGTAGGGTTTCGTAGTGACCCGACACTACGCGGAAGGAAACCCACCAAGACCCGCCCCTTAATTAAAGAAATTAACAAGCATAATAAACTTAACCAAACAAGATTAAGAACAAGAATTATACCTTTGACGCGTGCTTCGCTCCCAAAGAGCTCTTACTTCAAAATCCCGAAAAGACAAGATCTCCGACTGATCATACCCTCGACCCGACCCAAGCGTCCTAAGTCTTGAAGGTTAGTCAAGACCCGGACAAAATATAACTATGAGTTTTACGAATCAAAGGTTTACTCTTTCTTAGAGTTGCCTTTTTGATTCCACTCAAGGTTGTATTCTCAAAATCCCAACCAAGTGGGTATTTATAGAGAATGGGGACTTGAAACCCTTTTTCATGATCAATGTGGGATCATGTGCAATTGCAATAATTTATTTAATTCCAAATGAATAATTATGCAAAAACAATCACAAGCCAACAAGTGGCAAAAGGAGAGAATGGGTTAGGTGAGGACCATATCCCATGGGGGGGACCATTGCCTTGCTCCCTAAGGGAAGCTTGGTGGCTTTGGTCCCCACCTCTCCTTAAACTGCCACTCACAAGGGGTGTTGGGCTGCTGCCAGCTAGCATGTGCCAGCCAGCCCAGCCTCGCATCCTAGCTAGGTAGTGCTGGTTGATGCTTAGCGCTGGTGCGTGCCAGAGCTAGGCGCTGGTGCGTGCTGGCGCTGGCCCTGGCCCCAGCATCCCATGCACACACCTCATGCACCACGCACACCCTCGCATATCCAGCATGCGTGCTGCTAGCGAGCCACGCATACGGGCCCCTTTTGTCTCGCACCATACGCACACACCTCGCAGCATCCCTCGCACATGTACTAGCTACAAACCATGCACACTAGTCATGCACAACACGCATCGCACCACGCATCACGCACTAGCCTCGCGCCATTGCTAGCCCAGCCAGCGAGCCTACGCACGCAAGGCCTAGCATGCGTGCTGGGCGATGCTGCCAGGCATCCTCGCACTAGCACGCATCAGCCAGTGCCTAAGACTGCCATGCTTGGTGCGAGGCATGCACCCACGCACATGAACATGCGCTAGTGCCTAGCACTACGATGGCTGTGCTTGGTGCGTGTATGGCCCTACTGTGTTGCGATGGTGTGCGATGGTGCCTAGGCATCATGCTAGGCATCATGCTAGGGCTGCGATAGCACGCCTAGGCATGATGCTAAGGCTGCGATAGTGCCCATGCGCACC